ATTTTTGGAAACCTCCCAATTCCCCTTCTAACTCAGTTTAGGACACATCCCATCTCGCACATGCGCTGGCTGTAGCTCGCAGGGGGCAGCCCTGGGCTTCTTGGCTTAAAGCCGCGCTCTCATGCTAATGGAAGTTTTTGGTAGTAATTACCATGTGTTGTGCTATTGTCGTTGTTTTTCCTTCTAGCAGTGTCATTCGGGTCATTAGCGCTATCATTACTCGTTTGGCTGGCTTCGCAGTCATGTACTGATGGCGCTGCTGCTGTCGCTGCTGCTACTGCTCTTTCAGTGCTCTCTGTCGTCCTACCACTACGCTGCCGTCGTCGCTGCGGCCCCCCCCGCCTCGCTATCGTTTTGATTGCGAGGATGTCGCGTGCAATTCACCGGCTTGTTTGTTTTCAGTTCGTCAGACAAAGCAATATTTCACCATGCCTCAATTGCTGTAGATCTTTTCATTGAGGAGCTATAACTCAGTTAATTATTTGCGGGTACGCCTTGAAAACAGTTTCGCTTCAGCCATTACCCGCTAGCGGAGTCCACCCAGATTCCAGCAGAAGCGCTTTGGCTAGGCTGCATTCAAATGCACAATCCATGCAGAGAGTCAACAACCAAGGCCCTATCCTCAGTCAAACTCTTTGCACGCAAAGGCAAGCAGCCTCCACCTACTTCGATTTGGACAACTCAAGGGCCTTTCCTTGCATCAGGCCATATGGCACTCAGGCGCTGACGGGAGGGTTCTACATGAGCCAGAGCTGTGCGAGTGGCTGAATGCTGTTAAAGAGATACAGGTGTGGCTGCTACCTGCCCACCTACCCTCATCCCAAGCGTAACCTTAAAAAGGATATGTATGGTGCTATGACGAGTACGTTCATGCCGGATGCAGGCATTTCTGCCTGTGGCAACTGGAAGCACGCTCTGCTCATTCTGACAAGCGCGCAGCTGCAGCCCAAGCAAGCCCCAGCACTTCACAACCTAGCCTGCAGTTGGTCAGCTGTGTCCGCAGCACAGTAATACTCCGAGGCTTTGCCATGTTGAGCCAGATGCGACCTCTTTGGCTGAAACTGCAGAATGTGCTGCTGCAAGGCCTCCTGATGCTTCGCATCTCTCAAAGTTCGCAGAACCTGCGATTGCAAGGCACATCAAAGCTGTTTGGCGCACAGGTCATCAGATGCCACACTTCGTTTACTTCATCAGCTACAGCATGTCCAGCTGCGCCAGTTGCGAAGGGATCAAAACTTGCTGATGTAGGCCTAGGGCCCATGGTGCCCGCATGATATGTGCGAGCCAAAGTTGCTCCTTGCCAACGTTTCCCAAGTGTGGAAAAGATGTGGACTTCCAGCTTGCTAGCCTCCTGCGTTTGAGTGCAACTGCAGACGTACAGTGCGTGTCCACCTTTTCTGGCCCAAGGCAGCCACTTTCGTCACAGGCGCCTGTGGCACATGGTGTGGCAGCGCATACGGTTGCAACTCTGAGGCAGAAGAACTAGAAGAGCAACAGCCTTGACGATGAATCATGAACGGAGATATGATGCCGGTGACCGTCGCTTATCATATTATTGTTTCTGCCTAGCACGCAAGCATTAGTGAGATTTCAGCAATGCTGACCGAGGTTGATACAATACCTTTCCATGTTGGGATTTCATTACCCTTTTTTAAAACTTAGCGCCATGGCCATGTCAAGTCGTAGTTCCCTCGCCAGCCTCAGCCACCAGCTTGAGGAGATCAACTTGCGCTCAACAAAGGTTTCAGGCGTTTAATTTGAGGCAGGAAGGTTGTAAAGTCGTGGTTTCGGAATTTGGTAGGGCATGGATTTGGGGTTGCAACAGCAGTAGCATGCAGTAGCAGTAGAGCAGTGCTTCGACTTAGTAGCATCAGAAGAATAAGAAGCCAGCACTTGTCATAAACGAAACAATCACGGAAGGATTCTCCTGAAGCATTCTTCTCGCTTGTCCACTCCTCCAACTGAACGGTCCCCTCACACCGCTGAAAGCTTGGAGCCATGAGAAATGGCCGAGAAAAAAAAAACTAGCCCCAACTTTGGGGCACCTCATGTGAGCTATAGTCTAAACTCCTTAAAGGGGGTTATATGGGGGACTACTATAGGGGTTATTAAGGGGGATACTAGGAGTTTAGGCTATAGCTCATGTCAACCCAGGGAGTTGTACCATGTTGTGCCCCAGACCAACTTTACCACACAAGACCCGTTACGTCAGGAGAGCCGAGCACGACAGCTGCAGGAGAGGCCAGATGGCATGTAATGTATGAGCTGTTCCGCGGAATTTATTGGGAGAATTTACTGGGAATAAGGGAAAATATTCTACGGGGGTTACATAGGGATTGTATTCACTAATTCCCTACTAACCATTAAAGGGGCTTTGAGAGTGGGATGCTAAGTAGTGGCCTGGCTTTGCTCCTCCCAAAAGAAGATGTAGCAGTTGCTGCAGCCTCAGCAGTTCCTGGACTCCGCCCACTGCGAACTTGCTAATTCCCAAGAAGTAGGGCGGAGTGATTTTGCAATCGTTGTGACTTTGAGTTATCCCTCCTTATCACGGCTGCAACTCTTTGAATCATCAGCTTTGTTTTTCAAGTTCGGCTGGCTATGGATGCTAGGGCTGGGTTTCTAGGTAATCGAAACCAATGCCGCCGAGAAGCAGTGGAAACTCTAGCAAAACCGTATCCAAGCACTAGACGTTGCTACAGCTACACCCCCTTACCCTTCTTACCCATACACCAGCAAGTGCCCCGTGCCTTGAGGTCTGCACGAGCCTTGCAGCTGATGAAAACAGCAGTGGAGTGGAAGTCCTGGGAGGACTGAGCTGGGCTGAGGCTTCATGGAGGTTAGGGCTATAGTCCCCCTTAGGCAGATAGAATATGGGGTATATGGGGATCTTATTATACTATACCCAAAACCCATATTCTATCTACTTAAGGGGGGACTAAATCTTCTGGGAGAAGCAGTTAGAATTAGGCTTCAAGGAAGCCAGGGTTGGGGAATGTTAGGGCTCCTGTTTGGTCTCTGGGGCCTCTAGGGGAGCAAAGCTGGTGATTGCCTGGTTATCACGTTGTGGAACTTGTGCTGGCTGCCAACGCTATTTGCTGGTCTCTTGCTGCAACTTATGCAAGCAGACAAGCTACACCGGGGACTAGGAGGACTCCCGCATGCTCAACTGGCTATCTCTAATCTGCAGCCCTCACCTGTTTAAATAAAACAGCAGAAGGGCGCGGCAGCAGATGTCCTTCAAGCACCATGCAAAGATAGGCCTAGGATTTGCCCACAACGAACCTCGGAAAATCATCAAAAACAAGACAATGGCTCATCCCCTTAAATCTCCCCCCTGCTTCGTAATCAGTCTGAGAGGAGCTGCGGACTTTAACCAAAGCCTTCCAGCGCTACCTGGAGGCGACGGCGGCTAGGGTTCCAGGCGTTTTGGAGTTTGGGCCCAGACCAAGAACTAGCTACACAGCAGACAAGGCAGGCGGGATATGAACATATTCATGACAAAGTTACATGGGCTCGACAGGTTCCGGGAGCTTATGACTTATCCTGCGAGGAGATCCGGGAGACCGACATCCGAAGAAGGCGCGACATCGAAGCGACACTTGGCGCTTGTCCTGGGCTTTACTGCAGATGTCTGGTGGTGGGATGCTATCCCTTGGCGAGGAAGTCCATGCTGCATTTGTTCTCCGCAGATGCCAGGTTTAGAAGGGCGGCGCGAGTTTCAGTGACCAGAATGGTGATTTAAGGAGCCTATCTCGAGCGAGTGCCGCAAGAGATCAGCTTGCCACCGTCCAGACGCACAAGCAAGAAGCCACCGAACAGGCCTCGGGGCCGCACAACTTCGGGAAAGTTGGAACAGTTAAGGGGGAGCAGGGAGAAGGAATGGCGTACTGAGTATTGCACAGAGTACGACGCCCAGATGTTGCGAAGCGAAGCTAGCCAATGAAGATTTGTAGCACATCAACGCCGGCCAACTCGCCATGATGCAGCAGTCGAGGCGCAAGGACCCAACACCATTATTATCTAGAATTACGTTAGACCACACCAGCATCCTTGCGCAATTCTTTGCTGCCCTGCGCCATGCCAAGGTGGCCAAGGTTTCTGCAGACAACGATGATCTGCGGCGACAGCTGGAGTTTGATGCGCGCCAGTTCGTAGCACTTCTGCAGAGTCTCAGCTTGTGAACAAGTATTAGGATTCACGGAGTATCCGGATGCAGATATGTAAAAAAGACTGCTGCAGAAGGCAGTGCCAGGTTTGTTTTTTGCAGGGCTGACCAAAGCATAGCATAGAGTGACTATGTGATCCAACCAACATTTTCAATTGACTGCCAAAGCTCAGAGCTTGTCCTCGGACCTGGTTGTTGATGCCAAGGAGCTGCGCTCACTTGGAGAAGCAACTGGCGACTTTGAGGACACACGCCATACCAAGCAAGCATGCCAAGAGGATCCGGGATTCAGGCATGGCGAATGCTCAGCATTGCGGCAAGGCCGAAAACAAAGCATCCCGGTAAGTAGGCCGCACGGTTTAGTACCTGCTGCGATTCTATGAGCTCCGCAATTCAGCCGGGGGAGCCGTGGTGTTTGCTCGCATTGTCCGGGACTTCACGGTTAAGCGCATTGAACGTTTTACGGTGTTGAAAAGATTTGGGGACGAATTGTGAGTGCCACGTTGTGTGTTCTCCTTGATGACTTGGACAGCATACACTTGAGATCTACTCGCTTGTTGTCCAAAAGGCTTTAACCCACCATCATCTTGGCTCGAGGGGGCTGCGCCCACTTCAATTGTGGTCAGACGTGTTGCTACAAAAAGCAGACTGGTGTTGACACTGCATGATGAAGGACAAGTGCGCTGAAGTGGTTTCCATTCTTCATGTCATGTCAGGTCTCGCATGTAGTTCGAAACCTGACCCTATGAATCCTAATAGTCGGCATCTCATGATTCGTGACTTCTGTAGGAGAAGCGAAGAGCAAGATCTTCGACAACCAGAGCTGCCGGCTGACATGTCAGACGAGCTTAGTGCTGCGAATGCGCAGATGAGCTCAGAACAAGAGCTTGCGACCACAGCGGCGGTAGGCGCTGAGGAGATGGCAAGCTCCGCCTGTCCAAGCAGCTCGAAGATCTGTCACAGGAGGACTGATTCGGCGGTGCCCGCAGCTGCAAGTGAAGCTGCAGAAGGCGGAGTACCTGATGCTGAGAAGACACCTTCCAGTAGAATGGCTTCAGCAACCAGCCAAGCCCAGCTCCAATGCGACCCACCCGGCGTAGAAGGACAGAACACAGCAACCTGCAGTCCCTCAGGGAGCCCCCAAAAATCTGATTCATCGCCAGCCACGGTCGTTGCCCCTGACGATGTCAGTTTGCCGGCCGCATCACCGGACCCGTCCGCATCAGATCCCGGAGCCAAAGCGGAGAATGAGAGAGTTCTCCGTGCGCTACGACAAGATGCACTGGGCGTGCTACAAAGCCTGGCCGTGGTGAAGCGGAAGTTGCTCTGGCCCCGGTCAGTCAGGATTCACTCAAGCAGGAATTGTTTGCTTTAAGAGCGTAGTGGGGATCGTGCCTTTGCATCTATGAATTTGAGGACTCCACAAGAGCAGCACGCCTTGCTAATGCGTGTTTGAATATCTGCTTGATGCTCATCAATCCCTGCAACCATAAGTCTGTCCTAACCTAGAAGCCTGAACAATTTGTACTGCTGCCCCCTTCAAATCCTCGCATAATTGCAGCATGAAACCCTCTTCCGATCCTTCAGCTACCGTGGGGACTCTGAGTCTGGATGAGTTCAGTAAGACTTGGGGGTTTCCCAAAATTAGGGGCACCATTTTGGGGGTCCCTATAAGAAGGACTACAGTATATTGGGGTCGTATTGGGCTCCCACTACTTTGAGAAACTATCAAATAGACCTTTCTAGTTCGAGGGGATATACAGGTCTATCTGATGAAGCGAAACGGCCGCCATGCTTCCGAGCTTCTAGACCATTCCAAATGATAGTCTTTCTTTGAGGGTACTTCCATGAGCCATAGTCTAAACTCCTAGTATCCCCATTAAAAAGCCCTATAAGACTCCGTATATAATCCCCTATATAACCCCCTTTTAAGTAGTTTATTCTATAGCTCATATAGTATCATAGCCACTAGGCCCTATGCCCTATATAGTAGTGTCCATTTTCTTTTCCATTATCCCCATATAACCCCATGTAAGCCCCCTAAACCCACAACAGTAGCTTCCATTTTCCTTTCCATTATCCCTATATAACCCCTATATTACTCCCATGTTAGTATAATTTAGTATACATGAGTTCAATAAGACTTGCAGTTTGCTTCGCAAAGGCTGGCGGCCAGCTCTGCGCCAGCGGTGTGGCCCTTAAAGGTCTTGATACTGGAGAGTCAAATACAAAATGAGATGGAAATGCCTAAGTATGCATAAAAATGTGTGTATGGGTACATCTTATATATAGATATACATACGTACAGACATATATATATATATATGTATATGGTGCAGTGCTGGCCAGCCCCCCCGCCTCCCCCCACCCAATGGTATGGTGTACGAGAATGGCGCCTCCGAGACCTCAAAAACGAGGGCAGTTACGAGGATCGTGACCTGGACACCCACC